ACCCTGTTCTCCTGATCTCCTGTTCTCTCTCTGTCTTTCTCTGCCTGCCTCTGTCTATCTGCTGTCTCTGTCTATCTCCTCTCTCTCTCTCTCTCTCTCTCTCTCTCTCTCTCTCTCTCTCTCTCTCTCTTTCTGTGGGTGTGTGTGTCAAATTGCAGGAATCAGTTCTCTCCTTCCACCCAGTGGGTTATGGGGATGGAACTCAAGTCATCAAATTTAGCAACAGGTGTCTACCCACAAAACCATCTCACTGGGTCTACTATGTACCATTTCTTTAAGGTAGGAAGTGTTAGAGTAGGGATCCAAGACCATACTTTGATTCATTTTTCAATGCCCCCTCTCTTGGTCATCTGAAATAGAAACTAGCACAAAAGAAAGTGAAATCTAGATTTTAATGTGGAGCATGAATTGAACAACTTTTGTGTATAGATTAATTCTTCCTTCACATCTATCTGTAACTAAGTATATGGTGAGGGTATTATAGTTTTAAAAATCTAATGATAGTTTTATTCTGGTGGAGGATGATTAATAAATATGTCTATTGGTGCCTGCTAGAGATAAGTAATTTCCCAATGAATGTATTTTCTTCATCCCAGTTGATATTCAATCTTCCTACCTCTTATGGCCTTTTTAAAATATTCAAAAATTATGTATATGCATATGTAAAACATGTAGTCTGCCATTTTGAAAATTTAGTACATATGTCAGTGTGGTGGTTTGAATAAAAATGACCCCCATAAGCCCTAGGGAGTGGCACTACTAGGAGGTGTAACCTTGTTGGAGTAAGTGTTGCTTTGTTGGGGGAGGTGTGTCACTAAGGGACTGGCTTTGTGGTCTCAAATACTCAAGCCAGTCTCTCCCTGCTGCCTTCAGATCCAGATGTGGAACTCTCAGCTCTTTCCCCAGAATCATGTCAGCCGGCCAACCAAGTACCATGCTTCCTGCCATGGTGTTAATAGACTAAACCTCTGAAACTGTAAGCTAGCTCCAATTAACTGCTTTCTTTCATAAGACTTGCGATGGTTGAGCCAGTAGGTGGTGGTGCATATCTTTAATCCCAGCACTTGGGAGGCAGAGGCAGGAGTATCTCTGTGAGTTCAAGGCCAGTCTGGTCTACAGAGTGAGTTCCAGGACAGCAAGGACAACACATAGATATCCTGTCTTGTTGTGGTCATGGTATCTCTTCACAGCAATAGAAACTCAAACTAAGACAGTCACTATCATTATTTCATATTTTAATGACTGTAACTAGTATTTCAAATCTTGTAAAAATCACCCCAAACAGTGTATTTTATACTTATCAACCAGTAACCCCTTATCCTTTCTTTCTTTTAACTATGGACCACCCCTGATTTATTTCCTGTCACTATAATTTTGCCTGGTATAGACACTTCACATAAATGCAATGTAACAGCTAATCCTCATGGTCAGCTTGATTGGATTAAGGATCACTGTCTTAGTTAGGGTTGCTATTGCTGTGACAAAACACCATGACTAAAAATCAAGTTGAGGAGGAAAGGGTTTATTTGGCTTACACTTCTACATTGTTGTTCATTACTGAACAAAGTCAGGACAGAAACTCGGGATCCTGGATGCAGGAGTTAATGCAGAATCCATGGAGGGGGGCTGCTTACTGGTTTGCTTCCCATGGCTTGCTCACCTTGCTTTTTTATAGAACCTAGGACAACCAGCCCAGGAATGACACCACCAACCATGAGCTGGGCCCTCTGCCATTGATCACTAATTGAGAAAATGCCTTACAGCTCCTTCATTTCTGATGACTCTAGCTTGTGTCAAGTTGACACACAAACTAGCCACTGCAGTCACCTGGGAGATGAACCTCTCGCCATGTTTGTGGGAGCATATCCAGAGAGCTTCAACTGAGAAAAGAAGACCCATGCTAAATGCAGATGACATTGTCTTATAGACTCCTGGATCCTAAGCAACAAAAAGGGGAATATGGAGGAAGTGAGCTGACCACCAGTATTCTCCTCTGTTTCCTGACTTGGATGCTATGTTAGCAACTTCCCCATAGGCCCAAATAAGCCCCTCTGCCTTTTAAAATAATGTTTTGATTTACTCTTTGAAATTTGATATATGTATACAACATATCTTGATCATATCCACCACCAGCCCCGATCCAACTCCCCACAGGACAACCCAACACATCTTCCTCCCCATTTCTTGGTCTCTTTTTTGTCTTATATTTATTTATATTTTAGTCCACTGGGTCTTGTTACTATGTATGGCCCATACTTGTGTGAATGTGATCATTGGTTCTGCACATAATTCACTCTTTTCCTTCTCTTAAATTTTTTCATGGAATAGCATGTTTTAAAATGTCTTTCAGTTCTCCTTCCTTTTCTTTGTTCCTTCCATGAGCAATCTGAGTATTACTAATCATTTGGTTAGGGGAGGGTTGTGGGGGGGTGGGAGATTCTTGTTTGTGTGATTATCTGTTTGAGACAGGGACTCTGGTAACCCAAACTGCCCTCAGACCCACAAGAATTACCTTGAACTTCTGATCCTCTTGACTCCACCTCCCAACTTCTGGGATTACAGGATTGTGAAGCCATGCCTGATTTATGAGGTGCTGGAGATGGAATCCAACAGCTTGTGCATGCTAGGCAAGGATTCCACCAAATGAACTCCATGCACAGACCTACTACTACTGATATGTCAATCCCACCTCTACAGCAAGTTCTACATCTCCACTTTGCCAAGCCTTTATAAAATCAAAGTTTTCTTCACCTTACAAAGCAGATGAATAGCATGGTATTGATTTTTTAAAAAGTCAGATTTTCTGGGGTCTTTTGTTATGGATTGACATGTGTATATAATCAATTGCACTTAAATAAAGTCATGATGAATTGAAGATCTAGTTCTCATTTGGTCATGCCATGCCAAAAGAAAATCATTATCACTATTAGAAAGCACAATTCCCATTACAGTGTAATCTTTAACTTTTAATTACATTATAAATATGTAATATTTAATTACATTTATTAATAATTTACAATTATTAATTGTGTGGGAGGAAGCAGGGATCAGGAGACAACCTACAAGAGACTATTCTCTCCTTCCACCATGTGTATTCTAGGGATCAAACTTGGGCCATCAGGCTAGGCTTGGTAGCAAGTGCTTTTACCCACTGAGCCATCTCATCAGCCCCTTCCAAGAGTGTGATCTTCAAATGCCCTAATATCGCAGCAGGCATGATAGTGAGGGCTTGTAATCCCAGAAGGCTATGTAGGAAACTCACTAGTCTAATGCAAACCTTGCTTATATACAAAGACATCATCTTTTTTTTTTTGAAAAGTTATGAACATTGCAAAAGGCAGACATTTAGTGGGGTGGTTCCGTGTAAACCGAAATAAGGCCTAAAAAGCTTGGTAATGGAGATCCAGACTTTGATTTCGTACTGTGTTCTTGCATTAACTCTTATGTACAGCTGTTGTTTGAATCTTAGATGGTCTTTTAATAAAAAAAACTCAGAGACAGATATCAGGGTGAAAGCTGAAAGATCAGAGAAGCAGAACAGCCAGCCACTACTTCTTACCTCTAGGAAATCCTCAGCCTAAAGAGAGTGAGTTCCTGTTTCCACACTCCTTATATACCTTTCTCTTCCCTGCCATAGTACTTCCTGGGATTAAAGGTGTGTGTGCTTCCCAAGCAAAGGCATGAGATCTCAAGTACTGGGATTAAAAGTGTGTGCTACTACTGTTTGACCTCTATGTCTAATCTAGTGGCTGGCTCTATCCTCTGATCCTCAGGCAAGTGTATTAGGATACACAATATATCACCACATCCAGCTCTAACCCAGACACTTTTCCCATGCCCAAAAAACTGTTGACTTTACTGCCTGGATAAGAAAGGACACAGATACAGTTCTCTAAAGCTCAGATTCTTGGCTTTTCTCCTTTCAGGATCTAAATGGGTGCTGATGTCTTTTGAGATCATGTGACCCTGCTGACAAGCTCACTGAAGCTATTCCCATCATCTTGGTAGCTATAGCACCAGGCTATAGGTGGTTAAGGTATGCATTGGCTCTTTTGTATTCTGAATGAAGTAGGAGATAGGTGCAACACCCACCAATTTACACAGTGCCAGATAGAGCTCCTACTAGTCTAATGTTGACAGTTTCTAATGTTGACAACTCCTCGGTATCTTCTATTTGAAGTCCGTTAAATTCTGTTCAGTTGACTTCACCTTTTAGACAGTTTATACTTCTAAGTACAGTATTCCAAAGCTGCTTCATGTTCCTGTGGTGTTTCTATAGCAAAATTCTTCTCATCTGTTAAGGTAGGTTGTACGGTCTGCTGTCCCTCTTTGGGGTGAAAAAAAATGAGGCATTTGCTGAGTATTCTTCACTTTCAGATACAAATGGTGCTAGGAGGGGGAACAGTGGATTATGAGATGAGTTGGTTCAGGTATAAAGCAAAGTGGACATGGAGCAGGGCAAGTGGACATGGAGCAGGTGTTCTCAGAATTTGGTCTTTCTTCAGCAATGAACTTCTAATTGACTTAATTAGACTGTTTTCCTCTTCAAAGCAAATCAAGCAGAAATGATAGAGAGTTCTCTTATTCCCTTTGTTCTCACACATGTATCACCTCCTCTGTTATCAACACCCCCATCTGAGTAGTGTGACTGTGACCACTAAAGAAACTACATTGCCAAGATGTTTTCACTTGACATGGTATTTTTAAGGGCTTCATTTTACACACATAGCAAATAAAATGTGGAAACTAAACAATAACTCTCCATAGAATGCCATAATCCATCATCTAAACCCCAAGTGATCTACAGTCAGAGTATCTTCAACTCGCATCCTAGAAAAAGAAAAGTTAAATTTAAACAAAAGCTTGTAATGAAGATTCCACCTTTTCTTCTCCTGACCAAAAGAAAGGATGAAAAGTCCTCCCCAAGAAAAATCCATATTTTCCCTCCTATCCTCCCCCCCCTGATTTTCCTCCTCATCTTCATCTAGTAAATCTCACCATTATGTACAATATTTCCAAATCTTGTCTTTGTTGTAATTTGGGGTGAGTGAACACCACTTTTTTCCAAACATTTCCCCATCCTCTGTGCATTCCCAGTAGATCATGTGTCTGAACCAGAAGGGAAAGGCACATTTAGCATAGTCTGTAAAAGAAAGAACCATTGGGAAGAGGAACACTTTCTTTTTTGCAGCACGTACACACACACACACACACACACACACACACACACACACACACACACTTCTCCACGGTCTGCTCTTCCTTACTCCACCAATCGCTTATGACAATTATATTGGTACTACCCTGTAATCCACTTCCCCTTCCATGTTCCGCTAGTAGTTTTCTTATAAAGACAATGGAGTCGAAACACCTCTAACACATCTTTGATTACGTGTGATTTTGATGCTTTCAGAAATTATGCATCTCAGAGAATGTGAAGACCGCTCAGCATGTAAAGCCCTCACTATGCAAGCATGAGGATCCAAGTTCAGATCCCTAGGACCCAAGTAAAAAGCCACGCTTAGTATTACACGCGTCTAACCTCAACACTGTGGAGGTAGAGAAAGGCAGATTCCCTCGGACTTTCTGACCAGGCAGTCTCACCAAATTAACAAGCTCCAGGTTTAATGAGAGACCCTGTTTCAAAAATAAATAAATGATAATAATAATAATAAAGTAGAGAGTAATAAAAGGAGATACACGACATTGACCTCTGGCCTCCACACACTCACAGGTACACACCCACACACACTCACACATACAGCATATGCACTCATACACAACAACAACAAAGAAGTTGTGTATCTCTTATTTTCACTTCAGAATCTGCTCTAGATTCTGAGTTCTTGCCTATCACACCAAATGGTCCCCAAGACAAGGCATACCCTCCCATTTGTGGAATTTTGAGTCAAGACTCTTACCTGAGACAAAACAGTACCTCCAGTAACCTTGAAAGGTCTTGTTCAAAGAACACCACTTGTGTTTTGCATTGAAATTGACACAGTCATAGAATATTTCATTTCTATACCAGAATGGAAAGACACAGTCATCATCTAAAAGAAAACAAAAATCCTTTATCTGTCCCTGAGTTTGTTAGTAGTGGTTTTTTTTAATTAATTCCTGTCCTAAATGAGACATCTATATCAACATACCACACACGAATACACACAAGGCTCAGGGAACATCTCAGAAGGGGGATGGGAAGAATGTAAGGTCGGGAGGATGGGAGGGAGAGCTGTGACATACTGTCTTCTAGACACAGCATGGCCATTGCTCTCATGACCCCACTGCAGCTGGGGTGACCTGCCCAAGATCAAATCAACAAAATGACTCAACAGTCCAGCATGCATCGCTAAGTGGACTCAGTGAGTTACCAAAAAGAAAAAAGTGGAGAGGACATAAAAGGAGGAAGGGCGTGTGAGGGGACATTAGGGGACTGGAACAGGGGTTAGAGAAGGACATGATCAAAATACATTGTTTGTTTTGTTGTTTTTTGGTTTTTTGTTTTTTTACTTTTTCAAGACAATGTTTCTCTGCATAACCCTGGCTGTCCTGGAACACGCTCTGTAAACCAGGCTGGCCTCAAATTCACAAAGATCCGCCTGTCTTTGCCTCCCAAGTGCTGGGATTAAAGGTGTATGCCACCACTACCTGGCTTGCATTGTTTACACATGTGAAATTGTTGAAGAAAAAATATGAACTATTCTATGTAACACATTTTAATTAAAATAGAATTATATCACGTTCCCCCTTCCTTTAAATGCATTAGATTTATATATTTTTAAAAAAACTGTTCTATTTTAAATTTTTTAAGTGAGTTTTTCCAGGACTGAAGAGATGGCTCAGTGATTAAGAGCACATACACAAGAGGATCCAGTTCAGTCCCCAGCACCCCAGTGTGGCAACTCATAATTCATGTAACTCAGGCTCTAGGAGAGACCCTACACTTCTGGCCTCCACAGGCACCTGCACTCACATGAACATGCCCAAATACAGACACAGGCATATACATACTCAAAAACTAAAAGTAACTCTTAAAAAAAGATGAGTTTTTCCTCAGAATCCCTGACCTCTGAGATCAAAGCCACTATTAGAACTGTGGATGACACTGTGAAAAAAAATGGGCAATTCCTGGATTCCATAAGCTTAAAAAATATCACTTATTTGACTCTGCCTAGGTCAATGCCATGTTTTTATATTGAAACATCTATACTATGGTTAGGCAGTTGGTTATAAAATGAAGTGTTTTTCTACCTCAGTACTGTTTTGTTCACGATATCCCAAATTATTATTGGTTGATTTCTTATGTGAATTTTAAAATCTGGGATTCTCTATTAGAAAGGCAGAAATTTAAGTTTTTAGTGCTGGTAAGAATTCATGGCGGCAATAAATGATGGAAGCAGATGCAGAGATCCACAGCCAAGCATCGGGCGGCTCAGGCGTCCAGTTGAAGAGGAGGAGGGATTATATAAGCAAGAGGGAGGAGGTCAAGATCATGATGGGGAAACCCACAGAGACAGATGGCCCGAGGTTGTGGGAGCTCACGGACTCTAGACTGACAGCTAGGAGGCCTGCATGGGACCTACCAAGGCCCTCTACATGTGGGTGACAGCTCTGTAGCTTGGTCTGTTTATGGGGCCCCTAGCAGTGGGACCAGGATCTTTCCCTGGTGCACAAGTTGGCTGTTTGGGACCTATCTATCCCCTATGGTGGGATGTCTGCACAGTCTTAATGCAGAGAGGAGCTTAGTCCTGCCTCAACTTGATATGCCATGTGTTGTTGACTCCCATGGGAGGCCTTACCCTTTCTGAGGAGCGCATGGGTGGGATAGAACGGAGGTGCGGGAGGAAACGGGAGAAGAAGAAGGGGAAACTGTGGCTAGTATGCAAAATAAATATAAAAAATGAATTCATGGTGGCGTATTTCATGTTTGGTGTCATATGCAATGTTTTATGAAAAAAGGGGGGAAGACAAAATTTACTAGAAGCAAAATCACGAATGTGCCCATTTTTATGGAATCAGAAGAGAACACAAAGGCACTGGAGAGATGGTTCAGTGGTTAAGAGCACTGGATGCTCTTCCAGAGGTCCTGGGTTCAGTTACCAGCACAAACATGGCTGCTCACAATCTTTTGTAACTTCAGTTCCAGGGGATTTGATACCCCCTTCTGGCCTCCCCATGCACTAGGCATGCATATGGTGAACAGACATACAGACAGGCAAAACACCCATACACATAAAATAAAAATAAAGATTAAAAATTTTAAGAGAAAGAACATACATTAATAATGAAAATTTTCTGATCAACTTACCTTCTGTCTCTGGCATTTTCATGATGGAATCTGAGAAATAAAAATTTAAGTAAAGTTCATTTTAATCTTAGGCTTTAAAATAGACTCTTCTAGCAAATGACATTAATAGCTATGTTAGTCTGAGGAAAAGCAACATTGGCATGAGCTTATGTCAAGGATATCACACACAATCTGTTTTTCAGACCTAGTTTTTTCCACCTGAAATTATTTACTTTATTGAAATCCTACATATATTTTCATTGCTAGGAACTGAACCCAGGGCCTTGCCCATGCAGGCAGGGGCTCTACCACTGAGCCACACCTGAAGCCCCTCACTGGGGGATTCTAGGCAGACTCTCTTCTAATCCTATGTGTTTCTTTTTTTTTTTTTTTTTTTAGGTTTTTCGAGACAGGGTTTCTCTGTGCAGCTTTGCGCCTTTCCTGGATCTCACTCTCTAGACCAGGCTGGCCTCGAACTCACAAAGATCCGCCTACCTCTGCCTCCCAAGTGCTGGGATTAAAGGCGTGCGCCACCACCGCCCCCTAAGTGTTTCTTAATGACTTAATTCCAAAGTACATTTCATCATCAGTGTAAAGGAGAGTACTTCCTCTCTTATCAATGACTGATTGACCTTTAACATTAATTATCCAGTGGTAGGTAGCTCTTGGTTCACAAATTCTCTTTCATAATATCAAATAGATTAGAAGTCCCCTCTCCAATCAAGTTAACTAGTATTGTTGACACTAGATAGTCCCGTGTTTCCTGAGTTAGTTGGAATAACACTCCAATTAAGAATGCTATTCACAGCAGTTACTTCATGAAATCACATGTGGTCAAAGTGCAAATATTAATCACCTATGGAGTGATCAGCCACAAATGGAACACTGTATCATACACCCTGCCCCTGAGGCTCAGGAAACATCATTGAAGAGAGGTAGAAAGATTGTAACAGCCAAAGACCATGTAAGACCAGACCAAGACCTCTGTGTATACCAGCAGACACGCACACATACAATTAAGAGTAAAGTAACTCTTTTTAAAAATAGTAAATTAAAATATCAATCAGTAAAAGAATTTTAAAGAAAAATATGCTTTAGAGTACATTCAGCTGTTATCAAAAATGATCATTTGAACAGACACAGAAAAGTTCTCTTTCATTATTTTCTTAAGTATTCAGCCTTTGAGAAAAGAAATATCAGTTTGACATGTTCATAAATGGCATATTTAATCACTTAAAAGTACTGATGGAAAATCATTATTCTTTTTAATTTTTTGAATATTTTTATTAATTTCATACATTATATTTTGATCATATACCCTCACTATAGAAGGTCCTTCCAGATTCACACCCCATTCCATACCTACCCAATGTTTTTTCCCTATATGCTATTGGGTGTGTGGCCATCCATTGGAATGTGGTCAACCTTACCTGAGTCCACACCTTTAAAGAGAACTAATTCTTCTCCCAGAAGCTATCAATTAGAAAATAGCTCCTCAGTGAGGGGCGGGACTTCCTGCCCACCACTCCTAATAACTTGTCATTATACCCAAAGATTAGTGCAGCACTCAACCGTCATCAGAGAAGCTTCTTTCTGTAGTAGGTGGTATTTAACAGACACCCACAACTGAGCAACATGCCGAGAATAAGACACCGTGGGGTGTTCAACCTTAAATGGGACGTCTATACCACATTCCATCCTCCTCTGAATCAGGGATCATTGTGAATGAGGAAGTAGAAATACTGTTAGATCCAGTGGAATCACAGTTGAATTCATGACGACTGTGACAGCATGCACAAGACCCACGCAAGCTCAAGCCATACAAAATCTTCAACTATTTTTAAAGGAACTGACACTGCCTTGTATATATACGTAAACTAGTATTTCATCTTTTAAAAATATGGATGATCCAGTGACACCACTTGTCACAACTTTTTTTTTTCACAAGTTCTAATAAACATTTTTTAAAACAAACTTACCCATGGTTGGTGGATAATAATCTGAAAGACACAATGGGGAACAAATATTTATTTCACTAAATTTAACACTTAAAATGAAAGAAACAAAAATATCTCACCAAATTCAACTGTTGTGAAAAATGTAGTTTGAAGATCATTGTTTATACAGGACAAGAGAGTACCCTTGAACTCTAGTCTAGTGGTCTCAGAGGTCAGTGCAGAGCCGAGCTTTGGCTCCGGTACCCAGGGCCCCATAAAAGAATGGGGCTTTGGTGCCAGAGACTCTGCTGATGTCCATAGTTGTGCTGCCACTGAGTGCCAGGATGGTGTCAGTGGTCTGTGCTGTTGCTGAGGGGTGTTGATGCCCATGGTCCCTGTTGCTGCTGGAAGCCATGTTGGTGTCTAGCCTGTGCTGCCACCTGAGGCCATGTTGATGTCTGTGGTTCATGCTGCTGCCTGAAGCCATGTTAATGTCCATGGGCTGTGCTGCTACTGGAGGCTGTGCTGATGTCCCTGGGCTGTGCTGCAACCTGAAGCCAAGTTGCTGTCTATGGTCCATTCTGCCACCAGGGATCATGTTGGAGTCCATAACCCTGCAGTAGCCGGGGGCCATGTTGATGTTTGCAGCCCATGTTACCATTGAAGGCCATGGGGATGTCCATGGTTTTTGCTGTTCCCTGAATCTATGTTATGTCCATGGTCTGTGCTGTAGCCAGAAACCATATGAAAGTCTATGATTCAGGCTGCAGCTGACGATAAAGGGCAAGGAAGCTTTTTGTTGCTGTGGTGTTGATGACTAGAGACTCACAGTTGAAAATGAAAGACAGAAGGCAATTGTGACAATCCCTCTCTCCCACCACTCACCCCAAAAAGAAACAGTCTAGACAGGAAGCCAATAAAGAGAACTCTTAAAAATTGTGGTAGGGATGCTGAAGTGTAACTCTTCAAAATTGATGGCTTCTGGTGGGGGTTGGGGTGGGGAAGAACTCAATTTTCTTTAAGGGATGGCTACTAGGGGTTTGTTTTGACGATGCTCCAATGAGTATATTAGCAACACAAATTAGACTTTGTATTTTTTTCTTTTTCTTCTTTGGTTTTGAGGGAGATCACAAGGGTAGGGGGGTGGACCTGGGAGGACTGGGAAGTAAATGTGATCAGGGTGCATTATGTGCAATCTCCAAATAATAAATAAAAATATTATGTTTAAAAAAAGAATGGAGCTTTGGTCTCTCAGGTCATTGTGTGAGTTGTCTTCTCACTCCTGAAGTTCCGATCATTGCTGCAGGATCTGGACTCTATACAGCTGAGGCCCCAGAGTTTTTTTCTGAGCTGGTGACTTTATAGCCACCAGTTGTAGACAGACTTTACTGGATCTGAAGATGGTATTCTGACCCCAGCAGATTCATAGAACCCAAGGGGTAACTGAGGTTTTGACTCCACCTACTCACCTTGGTGCTGAGTGTCCAGCCTCACCTTTTGTCCCACTGGCACAGCCAAAAAATAGTAATCCGTTCAATAATCAACACTGTGTTACACCAGCCCCCTAGGTGAACTACATGTGGATAGTCCTCTAATACAAGTCACAGAAAACAGAACATCCCAGCAGGCTTGGGAGAAGAGGAAGCGAAAACCAACCCACTTCAACAAGCATGTAAAACATGACAAAGCAACACAGAAAAAAAATTAACATAACCTCCACTTGTGACCCATTACCTACCAACCAACTCCAGTATAAGGCAATCCAAAGTTACAGAAACTGAAAAAGAGAAATGCCTTTCAGGAAGACTAATTTTGGGGTTCTTCCCTATGACTAACATTCAAATATAAGCAGTAAGAGGATTGAAACAAGATAACATAGGATACTGAGTGTTCAGCCCTAAATGGGACATCCATATCAAGCCCCTCTCACTGGGGCTTAGGGAATGTTGCAGAAAAGGAAGCAGAAGAAGTCTAAGAGCCAACGTGTGGGGAGAAGTGTGGTGAAATTCTGTCCTTTGGACATGGCATGACTGTCATACTCATGAACTCACAGCATCTGTATCTTGCACAAGGTCAATAGATCCAAAACTCCAGCACAGAGGGGAGAGATGATCTCTCCAGGCCCATGCCTTACTGGGGAGCTATCAGCATTCAAAAGCTTCTGGGGGAGAGCTTCATTCTTTTTTGAGGGTGTGACTACTGATAGGATTCCCATGCTTCAGTAGATGGCTCACACCCATGTACACATGGGTGCCATTCACTAGACTTAATGGGTTACTTTTTTAAAGGTTGAGAATGGGACATATTGGGGGAAATTGAAGGGGGAAAGAAGAGTATATATAATTATATTTTATTGTATGTATGTATATATAAAATTCTTAAGAATAAAGAAAAATTTTAAACAAAAATAGAAGAAATAGAAAGTAAGAGAGGTTACCATTTGCCAGCTTTTGGTAATATATTTTATTCCCAAAATAATAATTTCAACCCTGGAACAAGATCACTCAAACCAGTCCTCTGTGAAGCGTTTCTAACTCAATCACTTCTCTTCCTCCAGGCCATGATCATAAATGGTTTCAGCAAGTACCGCTCAAAACCTGTGTCTTCTGTCTTCCCACGTGCCTGTTCAATCATTGACTGAAGATGTCTGTGACACTTAATTTTTTCACCCCAAAGCCTACCATGCTATCACTGCCAAAATGCTAGAATTTGGTCATTTTCATTGTCTGATTTCTCTGAAAGCAGAATGCCTCTAACTTCTGATCACATTCTGTCATCCTCAAATTGGCTATGGTGGCAACATGATAGCTAGAGCCCACACTGACTACAGTCAGCATCACAAGCTTTCAGTATGTACTTTGGGGCTCAGACAAAAGCCCCACAGGCACTTGGCAGGTAAAGGAACCTACCACCAAGACAGGTCTGAGGACCTGAGTTAGATACCTAGCGCCCACAGAGTGGAAGGAGAGACTCATCTGTTACAAGTTGTCCTCTGACCACCACATAGCAACTATGATAAGCTACCCCCAAACACCCAAAAAAAGCATAAAATAAAATTGAGGTGACAAATGGAGAGATGTCTCAGTGGTGAAGAGCATATACGGATCTTGCAGAGAGAAAACTTGGGTTCAGTTCTCAGGAGCCACATGCCAACTCATAGCCATCTGTAACTCCAGGTTCAGGTCATCTCTTCCACCTTTTACAGTCACCAGGCATGCACATGGTGCATTTATATGCACAGAGGCAAAATGCTCATTTAAAAAAAAAAAAGGCATTGATGGGGCCCCTTGTAACTATTGGAAACTAATATTCATGAGCTGTCTAAAGGAGGATCATGAATAAAGCAGCAGTTGGATGACCAAAACCAAAACAGCACTGCATCATTCTAAGTACAGGCTAACATGCCCAGGATCCATGGGATCTCACTCTAGATACCAGAAATTGTAATAGTAATATATGGAGTGATAAGACAACAGTACCTTCAGAGGCCAGACATTGAAAGTGGAGAGGTCTTAGGAGCATCTCATCAACTTCCTAGTAGATGTACCATGTAAAGTGTACATGGTAAAAGAGAGACCTGGGCCAGCGAGATGGCTCTGAGAAAAAAGTGCTTGCCCCCAAAGCCTGATGACCTGAGTTTGATCCCTGGAATCCACATGGTGGAGGGAGGAAACAGACTCCTGCAAGTTGTCCTTCGACTTACACATGCATACCATGACATGCAAGTGTGCATGCACATAAACAAATAAATAAATATTATTCATAATTTTAAAATAAAGACACACAGCTAAGGGAAAAATGTTACCTTTCAATAATCGTAAAATAGGAATCCCAGTTGACACTAAAGTGATCATACAATAAGAATCTCTTATTCCTCTTTTTTTCTCTTTCATTTTTAAACACTTATCCACTCTGCTTTTTGACTATTTTAAAACATGCCAAGAAGTACTTAAATGAGTATGTACTCTCAGCCATTCCATAAAAAGCATATGTCCTGGCGCACGCCTTTAATCCCAGCACTCGGGAGGCAGAGCCAGGCGGATCTCTGTGAGTTCGAGGCCAGCCTGGACTACCAAGTGAGTTCCAGGAAAGGCGCAAAGCTACACAGAGAAACCCTGTCTCGAAAAACCAAAAAAAAAAAAAAAAAGCATATGTCCAGCTCTGCATAATTCTTACAACACTAAGAAATGAACCAGAATGAAGTCCCTTTGTAAATAGCCATTTCAGAATCACTCAAAACATTACAACTTTGATAAAGAAATAAAATAGTCTTTACAGAAATAAGTTATATTTTTCTCATTCTATAGGCACTTAAAACATCAAAATGAAGAAAAAAATTGTTCTGTGACATGACTTCTGACTTTCCCCCTTGTTAGTTTAATCTTGCTAGTTTTGAGCCTTTTTGGAAGATCATGTTTTCTACACTTAAAAAAACAAAACAAAACTAGATGATAGAGAACTTGCTCTTTTGTTTATTACGACACACAAAATCAGGGTGGCCTCTCCCCTACAGGACATCTCAGAATTTGTTACAAATGGTATTGATGTGTGCAGCTACTTCATCAAAAACTCACCCCCAGCCACACTCATTCCCATGCCTCACCTTTGTCTGGAAGACTGGACAGTCTGTAAAACAGGCATATAGAAACCAATAGGATACCCACGGGCTGGACCATGTTCCTCCTGTCAGAAAATGGTTGATAAACCTAGCTTACTCTAAAGATCTTGAAGACCTGGGATCCAGTCACAGCCTCTGTCTCCTCCTTATTCCGTCATCTCTCCCCTCCTCCCTCCTCTTCCCACTCTTCCTTCTCTGAACAACTAGACTCAGTCTGCTACTTTTCCCTATCCTTCTCTACTGCAAATGCCAGTCTGGCTTCTCATCTCCTCCCTCCCCTCCTCTCTCTCCCTCCTCCATCTCTTATTTCTCTCCACCTTCTCATCCATTCCCATATCTTCTTTCGTTCCCAACTAATTCCATCTCTAGCTTCAGATAATCTTGTCTTCTATCACTTTCTCTCCTTAATCCCTTTGATTGCCTCTACTCTCCTCCCCCTCCTCCACTTCCCCTCCCTCTCTTCATTCTCCTCCTTTGCCTCCCTCTGCTGCTCACTGTTTCTCCATCTCCCCCCTATATTTCTTCCTCCATGTTGCCTCCCTCTCTCCACACTACAAAACTAAGCCTCTAGCCTTGCAATTGAATTAATACATAAAAAGAAACACTTTATGTTAGTGGCACTAAGCATAAACAAAGAAAATGATGTTGGGGAAATTCAAGATGTTATCATGAAAATAATCACCCAGATCACATGGAGAGTCACGGGTCTAACGACACCTTAATCCAGCTTCATAAACCAAAGTTGAGGAATACATTACAGAGACCCAGGGACTCTTCTTGTTTCATAGGACTCTTTAGAGAATTAATAGATCAGTAGATGAGGGGCTGGTTAGCTCCCTAAATAGCATTGCTTTCATACACCACAAAGTATTTACTGAAATGTGTTTACCTCCAAAGGAGCCAGGAGCAGTTTTCAGAGAGGCTGCTTTACTTCATCCTCTGGGAAACTCCACAGATCCTCTGTCTTGTGCCATCTGACAGTCACCACTTGGGGCACTAGGAACATCATGACCCAGGCAGTGCCATCCACCTGCCAGTGCAGGGGAAGTCTGTAGGCAGAATCCTGACACTGGAAGGGGCAAAGGAGCAATGGGTAGAGTCTGGGTTATCTTGTAGGGAGCATTGTTGTCTTTCTATCCAGGAGGGTGACATTCCCCTGTGCCTGTGAGATCGTGATGCTGTAAGGAGGCCCAGGGGACTCTGCCCTGAATCCCTAGCTCCCATGAGTTTGGTTTCTAATGAAAGATGAAGAACTCTGCCAAAAAAATAAGTGCCAGAAAGTCACAGCTGGAGTCTGACAGTCTACCCTTTGACAGTTTTCTTGGTAAAAATTTTGGTTGCTTGGTTGCTTGAGTTTTTTGAGACAGGGTCTCACACAGTCCAGGCTGATTTCAAACTCTCGGTGTAGCTTAAACAGACCTTTAACTCCTGGTCTTCCTGCTCCAGAGTGCTGGGATTACAGGCATGTGCCACCAAGCTCAGCCTTAGCAACCATTTTTATAAAAAAAAATGGTTATTGCATCCATCAATGAGATACAATGTGAAGTTGTTGCATTTTTGTAAAGTGCGGATGGTAATATCAAGTTAATCAAGAAATCTATCACCGCCAAAATGTACTATATTTTGTCAGCAAAGTACTGAAAGTTTTCTAATGCAATGCTTTTATGCTTGGTGGGGGGTGGTGTTTTTTTGAGACAGGGTTTCTCTGTGTAGTTTTGGGGCCTGTCCTGGATCTCGCTCTGTCGACCAGGCTGGCCTCGAACTCACCTGGCTCTGCCTCCCAAGTGCTGGGATTAAAGGCGTGTGCCACCACCAGCCGGCACACTTTTATGTTTTAAAGTAACAAGGCACATCTTTGTTTTTTACCTTTGAAGGTGATCTCAGGGGCTGGAGAGATAGCACTGGCTGCTCCTCCAGAAGACCTGGGTTCAATTCCAAGGACCCACATAGCAGCTCACACCTCTGTAAATCCAGACAACATCACACATATATGCATGCAGGCAAAACACCAATGCACATAAAACTTTTTAATTATATAAAAAATTTAAAAGAAGAAAGTGATCTCATTGGACTTCTATTTTAGGAAATTTTGTTTCTTTTTTCCCCATTTTATTAAAAAGGGATTATTTTCTCATACCATATATCTTGATTACAGTTTCCTCTCCTTCTACATCTCCCAGTTTCTCCCCACTTCTACATCTACTCCCTCTCTGTGTCTCATTAGAAAAGAACCAGTTTTTAAGAGGTAACAAAATAAAATATAATAAGATAAAACATAAATCATTACCTCAAAACTGGACAATGTAAACCAACAGAAGGAAAAGGGCCCTTGGAGTGGCACTAGAATCAGAGACACACTTGTTCATACATTCAGGAGTCCCATAAGAAACTGAAAGCCATACTATATATGCACAGGACCTGGTGAAGACTCATGTCAGCCTTGTGCCTGCTGCTTCAATCTCTATGAGTTCATAGATTTAGAGGGTCTTATTCTCCTGGTGTGTTCCATCCCCTCTGACTCTTCCACTCTGTCCATCACCTTTTCCATAGGATTTCCTGAGCTCTTAGAGAGGAGATTTAATGAAGACACACCCACCTCCTCTCTCTCCCATGCATGTGTGATGTCTGGCTGTGGGTGTCTGTAACTGTTCCCATCTGCTACAGAAGGAAGCTTCTCTGATGATGTCTGAATAAGGAATATGAGCATTTTATTGCTACTTTTCATTTTTCAGACCAGTAGTACTTGGCTTTAGCATAGGTTTCTGGGCTATATGGTCTCTGGTCCTTCATTACCCAAGCAGTTTTGAGTATAGGTTCAGTCTTGTGGAGTAGGCCTTAAGTCAAAGTAGACATCGGTTGATTACTCCCACATATCTTATGGCTCCATTGTTCTAGAATATTCGGAAGGCATGAAAGATTGTAGATCAAAGACTTTGTGGCTGGCTTAGTGTTTACATTTCCCTTTACTAGCCTACAGAGTACCTTCCCATGCCAAAGACACTTGAAGATGGGGGTGATGTCTTCCAAGGCACCAGCTCAATGAGTTGTGTGGGTGTTGTCTTCAGCAATGGAGCTATACATCCTGTCAAGAAAGGTCAGAACACATTTTCAGGTGAAAATACATTGGCTATGACCAGGGCTTGTAGTTTTTCTGTAAATGATGGTGTGTGATTCTACCAGTGGTGGAGAAAGACTGATAGAAATGTGTTAGTCTCCTTGAATTCACCTGTCCTGGTCCTAATAGAGGGGTCCCTGGGTCTCCCTCAATAGAGTTTGTAAGCACCTTGCAGGGCCTGGGAGAGTGGGAAGGGGCAGGGAAGGCTGCCAAACAAGTTCTTCTGTGATTCCTCGTGGAATGGGCAAGTGTAGCTAGAGTTTTCCTGCCTGGCCCACAGTCAGGGAAAATCTTTGTCACCCACCAGTCCCACAGCCGCTCAAACCTGACCAAGTAAACACAGAGACTTATATTGGTTACAAACTGTATGGCTGTGGCAGGCTTCTTGCTAACTGTTCTTACAGCTTAAATTAATCCATTTCTATAAATCTATACCTTGCCACGTGGCTCGTGGCTTACCGGCATCTTCACATGCTGTTTGTCATCGTGGCGACTGGCAGTGTCTCTGTGACTCAGCCTTCCACTTCCCAGCTTTATTCTCCTCCTTGTCCTGCCTATACTTCCTGCCTAGCCAATGGCCAATCAGTGTTTTATTATTGACCAATCAGCAACACATTTGCCATACAGACCATCCCACAGCAGGCAAGGGGTGTTTTGTGTAAGGCATTTGCCTGCAGGCAGCTCAGGATCCAGCCAGGAGAGTCTCTCAAGTCTCAGATAATTCTGTGGAAGAGATGACTTCTCGGACGTGGGTATAAAAGTCTCCTGAGGCACCTTTCAGTCGGACCCTGGTCCTGGTGAAGCATCTGCTGAGGGAGGTTTAATATTAGCACCGGCAGGCCAGAGCTCCAGTCAAAAAGAACTCAGGTGGTGTTGAAAGTGCAGAAGATGGAGGTAGAGATGGGGGGAGGGGCAGATGAGGGGGGATTTTCTCCAATTCCTCAGAGGATGCAGGTAGAGATGGGAAAGAGGGGCAGATGAGGGGGATTTTCTCCAATTCCTGAGAGGATGCAGGTAGAGATGGGGGAAAGGGGCAGATGAGGGGGAATTTTCTCCAATTCTCAGAACAAAATGGGCTTTTTAGGCTCTGATCTATTCTTTAAAAAAGAAACCTAAATTATCATCATAATCTTATAGTTTTATTTGAGATAAGCCTCTAGCCATTTTGGGCAAGTGACAACCACATCTTGCCAGCAATCAATGAAGTGAAAGTGATCCAGTGCCCTGGTTCCCTGTGACATAACTACTCCCTTGTCCAGCAATCCTCAGAAGGCCATCCTAAATGAAGGCCAGTCATTTCACAGAACATTCTGGGTTTCCTAGGAGACAGTTTAACATGATAGTCTGCATACTCCTTTCTTAAATTCTTTGCTATGCAATCCTAGGAGTGAGTTTTCTGAGGTATCTTCCCATTTCATCCCACCAGATGGCATTCACACACAAGAGGAAGACGGAAGAGACTAGGACTTCTGGATTGGTTTTCACTAGCTTGGAGCATCGCTCATCCATTGCTCCAAAACAAACGTTCTTGGGAATCCCATGCCAGTCTAATAGTCAGAAATTACTCAAGAACTGTGCTCTGTTTCTTTACCAGAGTATTCAAACAGCTCTAGAACATCAGAAGTTGATCAGACCACTTTTCCATTCAGTCAAGTGGGCTAATAAGAACCAAAACCACATGATCCTGAATTCTTATCAGTCTAGTGCATGATACTCTCTGATATGATCCCTGGGTCTGGGTTCTTTTGACTTTCAGGGCCTCTGACATGGTACCCCAGGAGAGACTAATCTCTAGAAAATGGAGAGAGATATTAACGGAAGATATAGATTACATACAAAGATAGATAGATAGATAGATAGATAGATAGATAGATAGATAGATATTGAAAAATATAAAGAGGAGGAGAAAAAGAAACAGGGATGGAGAAGGGAGAAGAGAGTCA